GTGGAGGGCGGGAGAAAGGGGCAAGGTGCTTTTCATTTCATAATGGAAGAGGATGAAGGAAGGGAGGACAGTCCACACTTGGCTGATTTCTCCTTATAAGTCTTCCTCTACCCCTGAGAGCCTGGCCGTTCTGCCGCCTTTGAGGCAGCTGGTAACAACCTAACCTAGACGTAGGGCTGGCACTGACCTCTAGAAAGTAGACAGTGACTCATTGCAGTAGTCTAATTTTCTCTAGTCTGTAATTTCCCTCAGATGAAGGGAAGGGGGGGAGGGCAGTAACTCTGGGAAAAGTTTCTCAAGACCCTTTGCTTAACAGCACAACCTGTTTGAGCTCAGTGGGTGGTGGTGTGTGAAATAGTGGTATAATTAAAGCTAGGTTTGAATCCAGGTTCTGCTCATCTCTGTCACCTGAATCCTATCTACAAAATGGGACCTGAATCCTATCTACAAAATGGGAGAATAATACTGAATAATCATAGTTGCCATTTACTGTATGCCTCATATGTCAGTATAAAGTATTTAAGTACATTGTTTTTTTTGAATCTTTAACGCAACCCCACAAGACGGGTAGTGTTCTTCCTATGAGAAATAAAAGTACTGTAAAGCACAAACAGGTGGTAATATATAAAGCCTCTGTCCCAGTACCATATACATTGGAGTCAGTATAGTGTTAGTTTCTTTCTGCTTTTCTAGTTCATGCATATGTATTAAACTGAGCTACCAGAGGCCATTGACTCTTGTTCCTCCTTATGTATATGCCCTGTGTTCATCACAGGCTCAGACAGATGTGTCACTGAATATGACTGACAGAATTAGGAGGAAGCTCCCCAGGTTACTCGGGTGGGTAAGTTGGGGGTGAGTTGGGGTCTTTTAGGTTATTCATCTTCATCACAGACAGACCCCCAAGTGCCCTGTGCTGCTTATCCAGGAGGCCCTACCTAGCCAAGGGCTGTACCCTAGAGGCTTATTGATTTCCCTGGCTCTTCTATTCTCATAGGAAGCACCGGAGAGCACGAGACCGGTCCAGGTCATCATCCTCTTCCTCCCAGTCATCCCACTCCTACAAAGCGGAGGAGTACACTGAAGAGACGGAGGAGAGAGAGGAGAGCACCACGGGCTTTGACAAATCGAGACTGGGGACCAAAGACTTCGTGGGTCCAAGTGAAAGAGGCAGAGCTCGAGGGGCCTTTGTAAGACCCTGCCCCTCCCCTTTTCTCTAAGTCCCTGCTCCCACTAATTCTAGTTATGTGTTTATCAGAATACCAGTTTGGTTGCCCTTCAGAATCTGTGGTTTCTTGTTACCCAGGCTTTCCATTTGTATTTTTTAAATCATAATGAGTGAGCTAGAGAATCTTTTAGGGTTTCTCGACTCAGAATTTCCTAACATATCTTGGCTGCTGCTGGGTGCTTGGCTCTTTGGGAGGTCCTGTGCCAAGTTGTCCTCTGTCTAGGCTATAAACTTAAGATGAACAGCATATTGACTGGAAGACACCTGTCTGTCCTGTGCTAGAAAAGTGTTGGACTGGAACTCAGAGTGTTGTTTTTCCCTGTTCCTGATGTGGTTCTTTGTTCCTTTTCCCCGTTTATTGTCATAGCAATTTCGAGCCAGAGGGAGAGGCTGGGGCAGAGGCAACTACTCTGGCAACAACAACAGCAGCAGCAACAATGATTTTCAAAAGAGAAACCGGGAGGAGGAATGGGACCCTGAGTACACACCGAAAAGCAAGAAGTATTACCTGGTATGCATCTGGGGATGATCAGGAAGGGCCACACGCAGTAGCTCATATCAAGGCTTCAGTCGGTTTGATTAAATATGTGTGTAGGCATCTTACACTGGGAGGGGGATATGTACTTGTGGGACAGTAAAGTGCTGGCAATAGGAGTGTTCTAGAGAGGCGGTCCTCACCTTAAAAGGATTTATCATCGGAGATGTTTACGGATTCCAGGATAAACAAGAAGGGTTGCTCTTTCCTTTTAGTCTGTGAACTTGTTTTACTACTCACCCACCCCAACCTTGGCCTTCCTCCAGCCTCTACTCAAGCAAGAGAAGAGCTGTAACCCTCCCCTTAGGCCACAGTTCCACTATGTCACTCCCACTGCAGGATTGACAAGAAAGACAGCTCAGGATCTCTTTGAGGAAGAGGCTCTGTCTCCAAAATGAAATGCCACTGGGGCTTCTGTCATCTAAGCTGATGGTCATTCTCAAGTACCAAGCACCTTATGGGCCTCTCTCCTCCTCTGAGACTCCTAGAGGAAACTTGAAACTATATCTAGAGTAGGGAAATGTTAGCTGAGCCCAAGATAGGTGCTAGAGTGGGACTGCTATGGGGGAGGGGGTGAATTAAAGGCCATACACAGCCCTTTTCCCAGCCCGTTTGCCACCTGAAGCCGCATAGCCGGCCTGATGCATTTAGGCATGTCAGCAAGCAACCCTGGTAGGAAGCAGCTGGCCCTTCACTGAGCTGACCCCCAGGAGCCCAGCCCTGCTTGCATTGGTGGGTGCTTTACACTCTGAAGAGATGGAGCTGATGAGGTAGCAATGACTTCTACTTTTCCACGTTCTTTAGTTTTCAGAATTTTTTCTTATTCTTTCATTGGATCCCTTCTTCCTCATTAGATCATCAGAACAAGGATTGTTTGAGATGTAGGTGGTGGTTTTTTCCTACCTTGCCATACTGCCTCTTTGCCTAAAATTAAAGAGGCGAGATATAAGATAAAGAGGGGAGGCTGGGTTCTGGTCCTGCCTTTGCCACTTACTGGGCTGAGACCATGAGCAGATCATTTGCTCTTGGTCTTACTGTCTGTTCTTGGCTGGGGGAAGGTCAGGAAGAGTGGAAGCCCCAGTTATGTATTCTGATTGTTGCTTCCTCTGTTAACTGCCTAACAACCAAGATCAGTTTCGTATTTTGGTGTGATTGGCTTTCTCTGAGAGATGATGTGCTAAATAATATGGATTTCCAAGTTCCTAAGCCTCTTCTTCATTTGCATAGTAGAGAGTGATAATGATAGGGTAGATGAGAGGATTAAATGAGATAATACATGTAAAGGTCTTTTGGTGCTCAGTGAAGATTTTATCATCATCATTATGATGCCCAAGCTACTGCTTTAGCATTCCTAAGGCACCCACCTAAATATTCTCTTAGATCCGAATCAGTAGTTACATCTTTGGAGCGGGGAATAGGGAGGACAGAAGAGGAGCAAAAAGTGGGTCAGGACATAGGTTCTTTTGAGAAAGTCATTTTTGGGTGAATACAGAGAATTGGGTTCACTCTGGCATTGATGGCAATGTTTTTTTCTCTCAGCATGACGACCGGGAAGGAGAAGGCAGTGAGAAGTGGGTGAGCCGGGGCCGTGGCCGAGGAGCCTTTCCCCGAGGTCGAGGCCGGTTCATGTTCCGGAAATCCAGCACCAGCCCTAAATGGGCCCATGACAAGTTCAGTGGGGAAGAAGGCGAGATTGAAGATGACGAGAGTGGGACAGAGAACCGAGAAGAGAAGGACAATTTACAGCCCACCACTGAGTAGGGGCCACTCTCATGAGAACCCTTGCCCAGGGGAACAGAGGCGCTGGGAAGATGGCTGGTGAAAAGCTAAACAGATGAGCCCCAAGAAGATTCTGATGAGCCCCAACCCTACCCCCCACCAGCCATGCAGAATCCTACTACAGCCAAAAGCATCCTTGGCGCTGTGTCCCACTGGACAGAGGTGGCCGGCCATGGAGCCTGGGGTCAGGCCCAGCTCTTGAGCAGAATACAACACTTTGGGCTTTAGCTGTGTTTCTCATTTGTTGTTGGTGTGTGGGGTGGGGGCTGGGGTAGGGAGGGGAGAGCGATACTTTGATTTTGGTTTGTTCCCTATTAGAAACCAACAGTTTTATTCTTAATTTCATTTCATTTGGAGCTAAAACTACTTTGATGATTTTTAATCTCTTCTCCCCTATCCTGGTTTTAAAAGTCTTTTTTTTTTTCTTTTAGGCACATGTAGTAACATTAGCAGAAAGATTTAATTTGGGCAACTTTGATTCTTAAAAGAGTAAACAAAGCATGTGAATAAACATTGAAATGTTCACCTCAGTTTGGGACCAAACTGCTTGGATCTTTGTAAAAATCGGTTTTGTATGTCGAGGAGGAGTTCAAGGCCTTTCTGACCACCTTGTGTTCCCTATCTACGCAACCATGCATCACATGGTGTTGCTCCTAACCACGCCCCACGTGCCCCCTCCCCCCAGTATTTTCTGATTTCTTCTGGGCTGGGCTTCCCAGTCTCCACCAGCAGCTCCAGTGTCCCAACTTTCTAGTCCTGCTGATCCTCTCAGCAACAGGGGTGGAAACTGGACGGCAGTTTCTGGTCTGTTTTCTAAGAAACTTCTGAATTCTATTATCTTTACAAATATAAGATGAGAAAATAATTTTTTCAATATTTTTTATTAATCTTTTTATAAAATGAAAAGAAACTCCTATGATCAATTAAGGAAGGTGGTTATGGCTGGGTGGTTTGTGGGGTTTTCTTTGTTTTCTTTATCTTTTTTTTTCTTTTTAACCTTAAGCTTTAAGTTGAAATATTCTCAGATGTTTGGGGAAAACATCCTCTTAAAATGGGTCCTTGTGCTTGCCTTCTGGGGAGGCGGTCCTGAGCAGGTGAATCATATGGCGTTTATGCATATGGTATATGCGGACTGCACCCACCTCTTCCCCTCCCAACCTTAGCCTCTTGGGTTGTTGTGCTACTTTCCCCTTACTTTGCTACATTTCTATAGTTAAGTTGGTTTTACTTGAATGATTCATGTTTAGGGGGAAAAAAAAAACTCTTAAAATTTGTTTCAACTCCTCCTGCAAATAAAAAAAATAAATAAATGAAGTCGCAGATGTAAATGGGCTCTGGTCATTGTCACCCTGGGTGTGTGTGCGTGTTGGGGGTTGGTGGGTATCTTCCCATAGCAGCTTCAAGGGAACCTGAAAGACAAAATGTCTATTGCGGCTGGGCCCAGACGGTTTCTCAGCCACCACACTCACTTGTTCTGGGAGGAGCCTCAGCCAGCCCTTTGCTGGCTAGTAAACTCATGCCCATGAAGGTTCTGCTTCATCTTGTACCTTGGACGCTCCAGGAGAACCAGATTTTTTCACAGTGGTGTCATGAACAAGGACTTTGTCTTCCATGGCGGTAGGGCAGGGACCATGGAGTGTGAATAACAGCCTCAGCCTTCTATGTTTTTCACTGAACTGGAATATTAAAGAGCCTAGCCCACATGGCATGGGCGCTAGGTGGGCCCTAAACAACTCACCAGCTCTGGGCTTGGCTGTAGCCAGCAAAAGCATTGAGACCTAAAGTCTCTTTCTTCCCCTGCCACTCACCACACCCCAGGAGAATCCGATAGTGTTTTCTGAAACCAAACGGGGCATCTTTGCTAATTTCCTCTTCCCCTGGCAGGGGTCAAGGAGGAATACACCTCCCAGGGAAAAGCAGAGTATACCATGAGCAGCTTTGTGCGCAGAAGGGCAACCACGCCCCTCCACCCAGGGCCCGCCTTGGAGCGGTTGTCGCCTGCCGGGAGTGAGGGGAGGCATCCTGGTATGTGCCTCTCCCTTCTTCCCTTGCAGCTAAAACCTCGCCAGCTAGGAGGATAGGCGGGGAAGGCTGCAAAAGGTGGGTGGGAGCCTCCGGTCCAAGGTTGGAAGGCGAGAAGATGGCTAGACTAGAATTTAAGTGACTAGGCAGACAAGAGTAGGTGGGGTAACTGTAACCCCAGCACTGGCCGGAGGTCCTGGAGTCCTCGCCTCTGGGTTGGGGGCTGAACCTGCTGAGCCGGGCCACCCCCTCTCCTACACCCACTTCCAGCACCGGGAGCCCGACCTATCCGCTCTTGTCTCCGCCTCCTTTGCTACACTCGCAGCTCGTCCCAGCCTGCACCGGCCCAGTACTCGGCTGCCGGTTGGATCGCACTACCTTCCCTGCCCGGCTCTGGAGGGCGGCCCGCAAGCCATGGGTATGTTCAAAGGGTTTGGGGTGGCTCCTCTAAGCGAACGTGTGGAAATGGTAGCAAAAACCTGTACACCACACCACCCTGCTCTTCCGCTGTCCGAGCAGGACTCGCGTCATGCACAGGCGGCCCCGACTGGGCCCTTCTGAGCCGCGTTTCCGCCCGCAGAGGTGCTGGTCCTGGCCGGATACCGCGCGCAGAAGGAGGGCGAGCTGAGTTTGGCGCCCGGGGACGTGGTCCAG